AATAATTTGAAAATCTGTTCTTGTAACAATATTTGTTAATTTTCTATTGCGAAATGATCGTCTTTGATAAAACATTTGTGATTATTCTTTGTCATTATGTTATTCTGAGTCTCAATTTCAGTTTCATTTAGCAAAAGACATGAGTCTGGGTGACCTTTACTAATCCTAGAAACGTTGGTCGTCCAGTTATTCAAAGTTTTCCGCGAATGTGTCGGCACAACAACCTTTAACCACGTTAGTAGGTGACGAGTTTCATTTACTGGCGTTCCGATGAAAAATTCGATAGTCGGCTGAAATGAAGTTTGTTCTATGCTCGTGTACCTTTTTAGAGTAGCCTCGTAAATTCTCTGGTTCGGAAGGTAAGAACAACTGAAGCGTGTGAGGTGCAAATTCATAATTTAGTAATTTAAAAATTGACTCTCACTACTGATCCTTTTGTATAGTAAGAGAATTAGCTTTACTGTAAGCTGTCTCAATTCCGCTTGCTAATATGCCTTTTGTAAGAGTTCACCAATATAATGGAATCAGATAACAACCTCTTTTCACCCTAGTAACATAAACACTCATTTTCGCTTATCCGTTCAAAAGCTGTTGATATTTGGCTGGTGCGAAATTTGTGATTTTATCCTTCATGATAAAATCCAAGACGAAGTCCGCAAAAAACTTAGTTATGACTAAGGTATTTTACAATAATAGTAATAAAAATAACAAAATAAACGTCCGGATCATTAAATATTTTAAAGTACTGCTGTACGCAAAAGTTCTGAATACAATAAAGGTATTAGATTCTCCAGTAAGTCTGTTTCATTCGGTATCATCGCTGTGAATAGAATTTTTTTCATTAGTTACACTTTAGAGAATAAAATATATACTTATCCAACACTTATCCAACATCTTAAGTTTGAACTTAAAAATTCATGTAATATATTATTATCTGAGTTACTAAATCATTAATCTGCAAGAATATGGAATGAGTATTTCGAGGGTTAGTATTTATAGTATGTCCGCGGAAAGAATTTTGACTCATAACCAGTTCATTAATCTCATACTTGAACTAACATCTAACACTTAACTGACTTATCTTCTAAATTAGGGAATCTATAACAACTGGTTATTACATTTTCACTCTCAAATGGCATCACTTTTTTTGACGATCGGATAGTGAAGCACAATAGGTTTAATTCAGCTGACGTATAAACTTTTAAGCATAAACGTAACCCCCAATTTTAACCAGTTTAAAATTGTACACGTACATTTTTATGTAAATATCTGGAGAATAATAAGTGAATTTCACAGGGACTTTCCGAGCATTTCAATAAAATTTATCGAAAGGATAATTTGGATAACATAATTTGCTCATACAACAATGCTTTGAAATTGTTGAGAATCACTTCACTATATTTCTCATTTTTATGTTAAGTCTAGGCATCTGTGTCCACTTATGTCGCAGTTTACCTAAATTTGTGTATCTGACGTTGATTTTACTGGAAATTGTAGCCTCATGTTTGACAAAGTTACCGTTTTCCCAAATTATTACAATTCGTTTTGCGATTACTAAGTGATTTGTAAAACTATGCAATTGATCTTTAACTACTTATATTTGTTCAAGTAGTAACAGTCTGAATGTAAAAAACTGATATGCTAGGAGCTATTACGAGTTCACCCAAGTCGCTAAACGGAGGTAAGACCAACGATGCAGTAACACGATAGGCTATTCTAATCCATTTGTCTCAAGCCCTAATAAACAGATCAATAAGTCTTGGTCAGGCGTAGAAAATGTATTCTACAAGCAACTAGAAAACACGAGCTGGCTAAGCTCACAAATCAAGCTTATTTTTACAATGATAGAAACGCACTTGGGAGAGCCATAAAACAGCGTACTAAGATAATCCGTCAACCGATGACAGTCAATGATTTTCCGAGTGAAAAATGCAAACTAAAGGTTAACTCAGCATCTCTGGCGCGAAAACAGAAATTCAAAATTTCAGAATAGAATTACAAAATTAGAACCCTTCCCAAGTGAGTTCTGAGGATCTAACATCCACAACAAGAACAAACGATAGCAATTAACGTTAATCACTAATTAAAAAAAAATAAATCCCACACATTTGTTCTATGATTTTATAACTCATCACGCAATACCTGCTCACTAGATGCAAATACATAGGGGTTTCATGAATTAATCCATTGTACTTGTCTCATGAAATAATAATAATTAGTTTTTGGATAACAGGATTTAATGAATGTGAATATCCTATTTTTTTTGAAAATTTTCCATATCACAAGGATTTGCTTTAAATATCCGATTCCCATGCCAATTTCAAATAAATCTATAACGTGAAGCTTTGCATAATAAGTAAACTCACTCTATTTTGGGAATCTTAATCACTTACGGGCAACTTAAATCATTTCTATGAGAACTGATGAACCAATTAGGGTGTCTAATAATTTCATATTGGCTGTCTGGTAATGGTTTTATTTTATTCATACTTCTTTTCTCATTTTAGCTTGTATTTAAAGTGATTATAGACAATTGATTAGTAGTTCTGCTTTCGTTATGAAATAATTAGGATTTATAACCCTTAAGTTAAATACATCATTGTCGTTATGATCTTGTTTTTATGACTAATTTCCAAGTGTAAATCTTCTTGTTCATCTAATTTCTGCTTAGGTTCCAATGCTTTGTCTCCTTTACCGACCTTATGTACTACGGTTGTGTTTTGATGTATTTTACATCAATCTTTTTCGTTCTCAGATATTATTTTAAACTTTTGCAATTATGTCTACAGTGCCTACCTAAAAAGTAATACGGAATGATATTCTTTTAGGTCGGTTCCATAAACTATAACATTAAACAAAACCTTTGGCAATTATATCTTTTAAATATCTTTTAACTCCTACATACAAATATCTTTCTCCGAAATTTGAGTAATAGAGATCTGTTAAATATAACTAAAACCAACTTTCGTCAAACAATTAGTCATCTTGTAAATCATGTTATTTTCATTGCTACCTGAATTCACAATATATAGATATGTAATACAACTAATGTAAAACTGTATTCTTCACATAAGTTTTTCTGCATCTATAAAAATAAAAAACAATTAATTTGCTGAGTTTTTGTAAGATACATCAAACAAACAATTTAGCAAATTAGTGCTTACAGGAAAAACTGCCCATAATTCTTAAACATAAATAAACAGAATAACAACTGTCTTTTGTTTTGTTTACAATGTCGCTATTGAAAGCAAAACTACTATTTATGCTCGTAATGCTTTCACTTAGGTTCATATGAAAGGTGAATGAATGCGGAAGCTTATTACTTTGTAGGATAAATTTCAGTTGTATATGATCGAATGTGAAAGTGTTTTGCTTTCAAAAAACATGATTTGTTGCTTACTTTTATGATCAATAAGATGGGAAATAAATTATCATAAATGAAATGAATACTTGCTACAATTTTTTTTTTATTCATACTGTCAAAACAAAGCATCACACATTGTTATGAATCAGTTCATAGAAAATTTCGGTAAACCAACAATTTTTGAAATCACTCTTTACAAAATATAACGAAATGTGATATTTCTCAAAGGTTTCTTTCCTTTGCTACTTTTGTAATGAAGCGTAAATTGTGTAAATTTATTTGGTTATCGACAGTAACCCATGGTGTTATTGAAGAAGAATTGAAGACAACTTATTCAAGCCACACAGTCATATTTATGGTTGATTAGAAAATAAAGTGGTCTTTTGAAAAATAGAAGGATAGTTACATAATTTCAAGTGTCAAAAGTGTTATGTAATGATCGCGAATTAAAAGAAAGATAATAAGATGAAACTGGAGGTTTGAAGGATACTTATCCACTTGAAGAATAAATTAAAACTGTACAGGGGATAATAAAAAGTGAATCTTCTTTAATCTTAAATTATTCATTGTTTATGAATTAGATTTTATAGAAGCTGTATGAACTGAAATGAATCCATACTTAAAAATATTAGCTAATAGTTTACAACCAATTGCAGTAACAGTTAACACCTTATTATATATAAGTAATAAACACTTTGATTCACATAAATATAAAATATGATTACTATTCTAGCGATCCATTACTACCTTTTAGCACGACAGTGATTTAACTATTTGTTACTGATTAATTACTTGTCTTATCGCTTATTATTCTAAAAAAATTAGTCATAATCTGGAACGGATAGATTGTAGCTAGCAGTGGAATCCAAGACTAGCGTTTCGTCCTTTTTGAAACACAGCTGATGAATGTGCCTGCACCTCAGAGTTGATGTTCATTATGGTCCTTGAACGGAGTACATTTCGCTTCAAACATCAACTTTATTGTCCATTAAGCTACTGAGTCTAGATAGCCACTCAATTGTCCAAAGGATATAAGATTTAAGTTAATTTAAAGTGGTTTGGATTATTACTTTGTTGTGGTCAGCAGTGTAACTCGCAATACGCGTTCTAAATGTTTCATCTAAACTTGTGTCATAATGGCTCTATCGACGCAATACTCATAGGATGTCCATTAACTAATCACGACTGGTCGAATTTCGGTCGAAATATAATTAGCGTAATAATCCGAACCATTTTAAATTGAGTTAATTATCACCATTCCTAAGTGCATGGTTTTTAAACTAACAGTTGTATTACTTCCTACGTTTCTTTCTACTTACTGTGCTTATATATCTATAAATCTATATAGATATGTTTTTATTTCTTTTATAAAAGTGAGAAACTGTTGCTCGAGCTACACTTCAGACTATCTTTACGAATAACCTCATTAATGGGTAAAAGTCGGCGAAAATACAAACCGAAAACTTTTATTTCCTTGCATTTTAATTAAACTTAAAGGTAATAAGCATAGTAGTATAGGTCACACTTTGTGTTTATCTTCACGAAAATGATGCTTCTACTAAAATAGGTTTCACTAATAACCAAGTTTACGATAAGCAGGAACAAACAATATAGTTACCTAGATTTATTCATTAAACTCATGAATAAAAATAACAAACAGTATTCAAATAAAATTATTATCATTAATTTAAGTTTTTTTTTCTTGTTTCTCCAATAATAATGATACATAAATTCAATATTTGTGTGTAAATAATGGTTTTTTTTAGATCTGAAAAAAACCATAGACAAACATTTCAACATGAATATAGTATAACGACAAATATGAATATCGATCAATCAAATGAAATTAAATAAATTGAATATGAATCATATTCAAAGTTAACTGTGAAAGAAAAGCAAATGAATGGAGAAGAAATTGTGAAACCATAAAAAATAAATACTGTCATTGTGTAAAGCAAATTTATATAATGCCTACCAACTAATAATTCACGTGGCTTCTTTATATAATAAATGCTTTATCTTAAGAATTTTATAATATACCTCTTTATGTAACATGATAATATTTATCTAGAACAATTGAACAGGTTTACATTTGTCGAGTTGTCAGATTGTCTGACAATATGTAAAACTTATCTGGCTGCCTAGACTACTAAACAGTGTATTAGTTTAAATAAACAATTTTGTAAATACAGACAAATGCTTCTAGTGTATAATGAGACAAGAAAGTCAAAACAAATGAAGGTTAGGATGAAATTCAGAATTTATAAATCATTCTGAGTAATCCAAAAAAGCGAACGATCAGTACGTTTAGCTTGAAATGCAAAACAGTCGGTTAATGAGTAACAGAGTTGTAGAATTATTAGCATTATTTCATGCAATAAAAAGTAAGAAAGTGAGTTACTTAAGATTGTTTAAATGAGATAAACAAAAGTGAATACTTCATGGGTAGTAAACAGATTCGTCGTTTTCCACTGATAGTTTTTTAAACATGAATAAATGTTGTTTAAATAATAGGATTCAATAAATCTTCAGTGACAAAATCATTGAAAATATATCACCATCTTATTTTTATCGTATGTGTTTATCACTTAAAAATCGACATTATCGGAAGTGTTAAGAACAAATTGTCGACGAAAAGGCAGTGGAGCTGAAGGTCTGCTCATATTTGTTCGTGATTTAGGAGGTTTTGAAAAATTTGTTATATTCTGACCACAGTCAACTGAAAGTTTAGTAAAGTAATTTGATTTTTTCTCAGTGAAATATCCATTTTGTCCTTCTTCATCATCTGAAACTGATTCTTTTAGAGGAGCAGAAGATAATAGTAAAGGTTCTGGTCCTGAACCAGTGTGAGCCACTAAAACATCATTCGAAAAGTGCACACTACGACATTTTGGAGTATCAAGTTCACCTGAACTCCCAATACTAAATCTTGAGGTATTTTTTGGTTTACGCGATAATGAATGTCTTGAGTTTGGCTGAAAAAAGAATTCAGAAATAAATAAACGAAGTGTTCTTAGTCTGAAAAGTTTATAAATTTTATTTACATTGAATAATAGTTATATTTTGATTAAATTACACTGAACAACACTTGATATTAGTTATTCAATAGCTTAATATATTAACATAATAGATAATAATCATAAGAGTGAATTATTATGATCAATTTGTAAAATTTGTAAATTAGAAGACCGCTTAAACAAAAATTACATATTTACTTAAACATTCCTACTGGGTAAATTGGAGAACTTTTTTTATGTTCAACCTACATGAACATTTTAATAATTTTGTCTCGGTTTACAGTGTAATTGAATTTAGGGGACAAATAAATTTTCTTATCAATTTATGTTCAGTATGAAAGTAAATTAGAAAGAAATAAACAAATAATATATCACAAAAAATGTATCTTGTTTAAAAATGTAGGATAATAAAAGAATTTCTATACACTAGGAAATTATTCACTTATAAATGTAGAAGGTGTAAATTGACAAATCAACTTACTTGGTCATTGAAATGATCGACATTTCTTTGCATTGTTTGATGAGTATCAAATTCTGAAGGAATAACACGTAAAGAATGACGACGCCATAATTCTTTATGATAATCTAAATTAGATTGTAGTTTGCTTTCACTAGGTTTTGAAATTAAGGAAAAAATTTCAAATTAAAAATGATGAAAGTGGTTGAAGGAGTTTTTTTATATTCATAAAAACAATATCATATGACTACTACAATATCATAGAAACAAAGTACTAATTTATTAACTTGCTTCAGTGTTTGAATTTTATGAGGAAATATTTGGAAATAAAGTTCATCAAAATTGTTCAACGATGCACATCATTGAAATTAGTTATCAGATAAAAATACTTGAATGCTGAAGAAATTAATGACATAATAATTTTAGCATGATGGATTTTTTCTGAACGGTATGTAGGTCAGAAAGTATATCTGATTGAATTTAGTTACACTGATAAAAAATCGCTACATTGCAAATCTTAGATTGTTTTTCTATAGGAATATGTAATTGGCAACTATGAAGGTGGGATTTTAACGATTTTTATTGAAATCCAAAGTTACATATTAGAATCGATGCAAGTCAGTTCTTCAAACCAGCATCATTTACAACATTTTGAAGATACTTTGGCTGACGTGATTATACGTAATATTGGAGTTACTGAGTTACATTTTTATTTAGTTATCCTTGTATTGGTATGTAATCGATAAGGCAAATCTACGGACAATGAATATTTACGCAATTGACCGATAAATATAGAGCAAGTAACTATATAAATTGACTTGTTACAACTAAGGGTTAGCTCACTCCCAAAACACATAGTAATTGTTCCCAATACACAAATTAATGGATTATAGATAACAATGAAATCGTTTAAAAAGAATCGAGTTAGTATCGGAATGATTTGTGAATATGTGAGGAAACGTTTTCATCACTGAATACAACTTGAATTTTTTTTAAGGCGAAGTTAATACTGATAGTCTAACCGAATTCATCAAAGCTTCTTTATGTTGTGTGTAATTGTTTTAGCCTAAAAGTATGGTGTTTGTTAGACTGAATATAGTGTACATTCAGTTATCTTCTGAATGTCACATTACAAGCAGTTAGATCAATATTTAAGTTCTTAATGAAACATTGTAATCTACACAGGGATATACAGAGACATTGTAGTAAAAGCAATAACAGTAGTGTTATTAAGTTACTCATAAAGCCAGCTGAAATACCTAAATATTTATAATTATAACCATCAATTCTGTTGATTTCTTTATTCCACTCAGGCATTAGAATGATACATTACCTTGATTTTGTTTTTTCAATGTGTACATTCACATGTTCCATAGAATTAATTTCGTTTGTTTTAGGTAGAATGATTTCGGACTCGGTTGGTCTGACAATACTTTGTAAAGAAAGAGTCCAAGTTTGCAGATTTGGTTCATTTACTGGTTTTGGGATTTCTGCTTCACATGGGATTTCGACATCCTTAAAAAGAAAAAAAAATTGTAATAATAATAAAATAACAAAACGATTTAATAGCTTAACTAATTCACTACGAATTTTTTTAAAGAGGTTTGAAACTATGATTCAAAGTAATTCGGTTGAAAATATGAAAGAATAGAACATATCTTTTTATATTTTGAAAAGCCTTGTATGATATTAAACATGATTATATGGTATATATAAAAAGAATTTGTATTCCTTTAGTTCAGTTTTCGTTATTCATCCATTCATATATATATATATATATATATATATATATATATATATATATATATATATATATTACGCAAATACACGATATATGTCTTACAAAAGCATATTTTGCCTATGGGTTACTTAACGTAATTGTACTGTAAGATTATTATGAATGTATGATTTCGAATAGTGTCTCAGTACACAAAATAATACATCACATTTAACAGATTTAATTCTATAACCATTTTCATTACGCTTGGTGGATATTTCAAATGATTAGGAAACATAATAGAAATTTAACATTTCAGATTTTAAAGTTGATATTATTTTGCATTACGTTCACGTGGTAATACGAATCCTTATAAAAAAGATATTATTATATTAATTCATAATTTTAATTAATTTTGTTAGTTTTTAAGATATTCCCCTAGTATTTCCACGTATAAAGATAGGTATGTATAACTTGCAGGCGTGTAGTAACGATATGTCAAGCTTGAAACAAATTTCAACACTATATTGTTTGGCTGTAAATTTAATGAAATAAATTTGGATTGGAACTTTTCAATTACAAGACAATATTCTGAAACTGTGCCATCTATTTTTTGGCAATAAATCAAAATCAAATGCTAAACTTGTTAACTTGATGAAATGTGCATTTAACTAATGTTACAAAATTTCTTTTAACCAGGTGATTTGGATTCACATGATTTATGACAAACTATGCTTGTATATACTGGTCGAATGATATGAACTAGCAAATGTTACGTAATTTCAACCACCATTTCGGCTATTCAACAAACCATTTATCATTTCGAAATTTATGAGAAACAGAAATCCCTTATATTCATATTTGTGTATACAAATGTTGTGTCAGATTTCAATAATAATATTATTTGAAATTATTCTGTTATTTAAGTGGTATATAGTACTTAACAATAATAAATGATTGAATGAAAATATTTTGCTAGACTGATTTTGTGATATATATATATATATATATATATATATATATATATGACTAAATGCGATATTTTTAAGTGATTGGTTTTGTTCGATATGAACATGAAGTTAGAGATTTTTAAAAAAAATAGATGCTTTTCTCATCGGACGAACACACAACAAGCTTCCTTTAACCGTGTAGATTCTGTTCCCATATGATATACAGAGTATATTTTTAGAGAAAAACTATCAAATGCCCTAAAGAAATGCAACTATTTACCAAAGAAAAAGAATAGATTGATATAAATAGTTAGTTTGTTGTAAGGATATTAATTCACAATTAATTTTCTACATAGATATAAACTGATGTTATTGTTCAGGAAATAAACTGATACCGAAAAGCCGTAGATAATATTAATGTGTCATAATTTCTGAATAGTATGAGGTTCAGGGTTCATATTAATTGAAACTCATTCATTAGATCAAATAATGCACCCGTTATTTGGAAAACTACATTCAATAGTTTTGAAGTTAGTTTTAAAATACCATTATTTAATAATTCATAGCCTATTGCTCTCAAACTGTTACACCAATTTTAAATTGCCATTTTTTTGAAACTCTTTTTCTCTTCCGCTTAGTTGAAATTCACATTTCTCCATTGCAAACTATAAATGAAGCGAATTTCGATGCAATTATGTACATGTATACAGTCAATTAATATACTAACTAGTACATTGTAAAACGTTAAACAGTTTTTGTACATCTTGAATATAGATGATCAAGTTTTGTTACTAGTCAATTAGATTTACATTATTTTTTGCTAGCAAATAAACATACAGTATAAATGCCAATGAATTAGTGAAACGGATTTTTTTTTAAAAATAAAAAGTATTATCACACTAATTCACTTTTCTTTTTCATACTGAAGTTAAATAGATATTTTGTAATAAATTAAACATATATTGGTATGTAGCATACATGATATTTGTTTTGTAGAATAAAAAAAGTTGACTATTTTATTGTCTACACTTGTTCGATTAGATAATCAGAAAAAAAAAGTTGAATCGTTCAATAGATCGTAACATATGAATAAAGAGTTTCAGGTATACACCATAATCCAATGTATTGGATCAATGGATTGTGTACAGCTAACTAGTTCAAATGAAGTTTATGCACATGTTATTTGGCAGATATTATTTGTAAAACAATTATTTCCTATTTATTCGGTATTGTTTATTAGATGATATTTTATGCAAATGTTGAATTTTTTTCTTAGAATATATCTTCTGTATGTCTATTTTTACTGAAGAATTATGTACTAATGAATCAAATGGTAAACGATTAATGTAGATATTTGTTAAGGATTAATGAACTAGTTTAATAAATGAAATTGATAACAATGATATTTTTTTTTCATATATATTTTTTTTTCAAAATTAATATAATTCTGTAACATATTATGTTAGTTTCATTTTAAATGCAAATAAACAGAAAAGAAGCTATTCATCATTCAATATCAGATGAAATTCTAATATTTTAGAAATTGAACACAGAACTTCTAGAATGGTGATGAGATCTTTTAAAAACTAATTTTAGTTGATAATGATGCTTTTTATTTGTTAAGCTGACAAAGGATTGATAATCATAAAAGTAGGTCTTTAATCAACAATTTATTTCTAATCGTGGAAAGTAGACGACTGGACATAAACTAACTAGCTATGAATTGAAAAATAACGAAATCCAGATAGTAGTATACTACTAACAGTTGGAGAGTTTTTGATTTAATAACTATTTGATAATTGTCAAGTAACGACGTATCCTTATACTTATTTAATGATAAAATTACTCTAAACATGTATATATATATATATATATATATATATATATATTCATAACAATGTTTTATCCTTTTAAAATAAACTCTAAAATATCATAGTGATTCTTCTCGTCTGACAATTACTCTAATTACTCAACAATAAAATTTACAGCCATAAACGTTTTATTATTTCTAAACCATGTACATGTTTCTTTTTGGTGCTGATAATAAACTATTGTGCTCATGGAAGAATATACTACTTCCCGAAATACATCGAAATTCCAACTTACTTTAAAATACAATTACAGTCTAACGTGTTGTACAAACTAAAAAAAACATTGATTGTTTTATGTGCATCAGCTTGTATATACATTTATACTCGTAATAGTGTCTATTTACTCAGTATTATGAACATGACGAGAAGGCTGATAAAGTTAGGAGTAATAAAAACATAAACTCCATAACAAAATGGAGTGTTTAATTTTTTTAAGTACTTTTCTTATCGACGATTGATGTTACATTGTTTAATACAATAATTGTATCAAGAGTTTATGATATAATCTATTTTATTAGAAATAAAGATATTAAAATGAAAGTCAGTAGATAATTGTTTAGACATTACAAACATTTATATTTCTGTAAATCCGATACTTCTCAGTGTTTTAATGATACGAAGATTTTCAATAGCAAAGGAATGTTTTGTTATGTAAGACAAAATATTTTGTTTATTTAAAAGCATCAACCACAACTAAATGATGAAAAAGTTTATTCGTCATGGGATGATATTAATAAATCTTTTGACTACCATAACAGTAACTGATTACGAAATGTAAATGTTTCCTTGAATAATTTCGTTTCAAAAAGACTACTGTTGTAAATTTGAGTAAAGCTACCTAATTCCAGTAAAACACATATTGTTTAACCAGATGAGGAATTTATTATTAACTGGTTCTATAGGCATAAATTGAAAGAATAATTATTAGATTGTAATGAATAAAATTTAATATTAAAAGTTTTGAAACGAATATCATACAGTGTCGATAGTTAAAACAGTTTAGTTTCAGTGTCTCAATAGAGAGTACGCAGTTCTCTTATATCAGTATCACAGGTCTATAGTATAAACATTTGTGCAAGCAATAATATTCATACTTAAAATATAAGAAAATAGACTAGTTATTCCCAGGGTACTAGATAACAGACAGCTTATCTTAAAAGATCGATACTCTTAAGCAAAAGTTTCAACGATCTTTAGCATTGTATAAGTTAAGATGTAAGACTTTTATATGTTGTTATAATAGGGTAATAATGTTTGTTTTATTAAAAGATCTTTACGTAGATTCATTACGAATACCAATTTTTTATGATCTTAACTGCTTGCTTAAAGTTTCAGATCTACTGATGTATTTATTGTCAGTTTTTGTCAATGAAGCTTTAACTGAACAAGCAAAACAAGAAGAAATAATGTTGTAAATTTCAAAAAAAGTTCTAAGCTTTTATTAGATTGTAATATTTTTAAAAAAATGTATCTAACAATAAACAATTAATCCCTTTGTTGTATTAGGTTATTTTTTATTTAAATAGGCTGGATAAAACAACAATTCTTTAAACTCTAGATAAAATTTATTTTAGCTTTTCTATAGTTCTTGGGATATATAAATATAATACAAGCTTCAATACTATTGAACAATATGAAAAGTTTCTACAGAAAATGATTCATAATTATACTAGGGATTTGATGTATCTTTTATGTCCTAAAATGTGTGCATTGATATACCAATCAGTCAGCCATCATATAATTGATATGTTCAAATAAAAAAGGTTGTATATATATATATTCAAATGCAATTTGAAGCTGATCAGTGTCATCAATGAAAACTGATATAAACATGTTTATGTTTACTGTCTTCTTTAATGAGGATGATAAAGAAATCATCAATGAAGTGATACATATATCAAGTCATCAGCGAAAAAAATAAATAAACAAATATTAAGGCAGATTACTTGTATATCTCAATCACCTTATTTTAATCTCATCGTTTCATTTGAAAATGGAATTATCATTTAAGGCTTTTTCTATTTCACTGTTATGATGCATGCGATTAAATTTTAAATGATGTGATCAGATAAAATTATTTCCAAATGATTAGAAGTAGATTTGGTTAAAACACTTGAAATTTCTATCAAGACAATGCCTTTTGTTTTGCACATTTCTGTTTGATTGGTTTTTTTTAAACGGATGCAAAATAGGCATGGATGTACAGTTATCTTCAATAAGAAATTGTTTAAATATTTCAATTTCATATAATTTTCATTGCTGTTATCATACTTTTTTTATAAGATTAAACAAAAATAATAGATCTTATTAGAATATTAGATAAAAGTAATTCCATTTTCGCTTGAAAATAAAAATTCAGAATTATATATGATAAAATATTATGAGTTCAATAGCCAAAATGGTCTTTCTTAAAGAATCGCTAGGAGGAAAACCAATGAAATTCAACTAAACAATTCTGTACAAATTAATTATGTTTTTGACATTTTCCGTAACTCCTATTATCACAATTTATTATTTGACTAGCATTGATAAAATTATGAATATGAAGTCGAAAGAATGCGATTTTTATGTAAGAAAAATTTGCAGGAGTTAGTCACTTCATTACTTCTCACTAAGACGGTATTCAACAGTGTTATTAATGGAGTTAAACACTTATACCATCGGACGTCGGCTGAATGCTCAAGAGATTAAGCATCCACTCTCGAGACCGAAGGTTTTAGGTTCGATTGTCGCTCTTGAGTTTGTGGACGTGCACTATTAATGAATCCCTTATTTAGACTAAATAGCCGTCCAATGTTTCCAGGTTCCCAATGGTAGTTAAATCTTGACTGATCCGTAATTTTAATGAAATTCTAAATACTGTAGAATCGATTACTATCAAGTTTGGTTGAGGAAAAATAGATCTGAACTAATAAAAATACTGAACAATAGCTTACGCTCATAAATCAAGTTAAAGAAGTTTTAGTATTTATTGATCATTAACTTTTGTTTCTCGAAGAGATAAGCAACATTTTTTATTCTTAAAAAAGATGAGAGCTATTCAAAATAATATGAATGATCAATTTTTATGTAAATAATGAATTCTGATATTTAAAGTAGAATGATTTTGTGAGTTGATTATCATAAAAGACAGTGATATATAGTTTACAAGCAACAGTATTTGTTTGATCAAAACGATACCAGTGGGAATATTTAAATTTTGAATGAAAAATTTTGATTTGACAAAAATTTCTGTCATAACAGATATATTATCAAGCAATTCTTATATGAAGTTTCAAGTGACTAAAATCATTTTTCTGATTATTTAAATTAAAAAAAAGAAGCAAAAATGGAATGTTTTAAGAAATGCTTCTTTTTTTACCTGATTATTTGAAGAATCCAAGCTTCCAGTTATCCATGAATCAGCATCAACATCAGCATCATCAGCATCATCGTCAACAAAATCATCTGTTTGTGTTGTTTTATCAAATTTTCTTTGGTAAAATAAATTGCTAAATCATAAATTTATCAAGAAAACAAAGAGAAACGGAGGATAACAGTTGAATACACAATCTGTGAATGCAACATCCAAGTGAACAAAAGAAAGTCATATAATAACGGAAAACTGGTGCAAATAAATTATGTTATTTGTAGACTTGTAATCTTGACATTCATTTTAGATCAGTCAATGAAAAAATTAGATATACTTTATTTATCCAATGTTTCATATACAAACACAATTTGAATCTGATATGTTATCTAGTGAAATTAAATTTTTCAACTGTTAACCAATGTCAAATAACAAACAGATGGTAATTATAAACAGAAAGCTAGAAATATATGAAAATTAAAGTCTACTGAATGATTGTATATAACAGATGGATTGCAAAATCTATATACCTAATGATAGTTGTTGAAAAAAATGCATTTCATTTTTCAGTATAGAAAACTCACTTTCTCTCTATGTAGCTGATCTATTTTAGGTACATGTGAACTAGAAGCCGGAGAAAATAATCGACTTTCTGAAAGTGTATTAATATATTTACTTTCAAAGATTAATTTAAATTTTTTTTGCTCATGTTTCTATGCAACGAGTGCACCGAGACTCTTTGAATTGATTGACAAAGCACAGAACAGTTCAATAGGGGAAGACTATACTTTGTTTAAGGAATCGTTGATATGATTTTACGTTTTATGATATTCATTTTCTTTTGCATTTTAATATCTACAAAAATGGAGTTTATCGCGAACAAATAGTTAATATTACTGAAATCGTGTTGCATTTATATATCGAAATATGAATAGTTTTAGATTACGTTATGGTTATTTTTGTTCTATTAGTCATATTCTAGCAGTGGAAATTACAATTAAGTTTTGAAGTAATTTCATCTATATCAATTTATTCTATTTTCTATATTTATGAAGATATCGTTATTATATTAATTTTCATGGATGTTTATCCTTAAAGTAATTCATTTAATCAAAAGTATTGAGTCAAAGGAAGTTTGAATCAAAAAATCATGCATTGCTGTGGTTATTATGACCTTTATGGTGTTCAGTTTCTAATCTCAGTCAAATGGAAAACTGTCTCTTATGTTTTTGACCTTTAAATTATGTTTAGCCGCTTGGTTTACTCTAACCCCTGGATCATTACGCAATCTCTCATTGATATTTGTATTCTAGAATCACGTTGTGATATAATCCTTTCTGTCTTCATATACATATATATGTATTAATATATATCAAACAACTATAAAGAGGAATATACAGCTCAAGTGAATAGTTTAGTCGAAAAGAACACTTAATCATTGATGATATTTGATTGCGATTTCTTTTAAGTTTCGTTTTACATTGTGGGAGTAACTGAACGGAAACTGAAAAGTTCTGTAAAAAATTTTTGTATAGCTGTAAAACTGTTCTAGTTTTATTCAAGTATATCTCTGGAAAACATTTTATCAAAAATTAGTACATTATACCATATTTTATGATATGTCATATTCATGAAAAGAATATCTAGTGAATAAATATGATAATTCGTAGCTTCATGCTCCAAAGTAGGTCATTGGTATACTGTTTTATCTAAAAAAATTTATAAACTATAGCTAGTCGTCTAAAACTAAAACCATGAGGCAGAAACGAAAGGAAATCACACAGCAGATTGCTATATCACCGAAGTAGAATATTTTCACTGATAATTTCGGATTGTTTCTAAGCATTCCAAAAAGAGATGGGGTGAATAGCAGCGGAATCAAGGACACGCGCTTCAACCTAGTGAGGACTCGTTAGTTGGATGTACCTACATTCCAGATAAATCTTGAACAAGATATTACTGTTTGTATTTAGTTTATTGTTAGAATCAAGTAATGTATTACGTTGACTGACATTAAACGAATTCATACAAAGTAATTATAGATTATGAATGGTTAAGAAATGGTTCCTTATGGATGGAAGTATTCGAGTATTTGTTCCATTGAATAGTTAACATATAGGTCGACTTTAAATATGCAGGTTTGTTGGGTTTCGACCAAGCAGTATTTCTAGAAAGTAAATATATAAATCCGGTGTGATCATTACACAAAACTCTACTCAGTATAGTGCAGTATCATTTTGTCGGTGTTGTAAGAAGGTACAATATTCCAAGAATATCCTCTGAAAGATCTAAAGGTAACGTTTGCATCCTTGAAGAACATAAATTATCCCACAGAAAGCGAACTTCTGTAAAACCTCAGGCCAGTGAAAATAGCAATATCAATATTTTTAGTTTGGAAGAAACAGTGATCTTATTCATATGAACACTAATTCGTCTGATGTATCATGTTGTCAACAGTCGAGTTAACTCATGACCGTCAAACGAACAGAAATTCTTTATTTATTTCTGTATGTGAATCTTGTGTGACGCAGTTCAACATGAACATTCAAAAAAAGTCACAGTTTTTCTCATCCGTTATGGTACATCCCAAGTAGTTCAGTTGAATTCAAGCTAAGCCTTTGATAGTTTATCTCATACCAACATGATTTTATATCGTAGTCACACAACTCAACATATTTACTTACCTTTTATATTGAGAAGTGTAGTCCTGTGGCTTTGTAAAAGCATTCACTTTTTGTGACACAGTAGGTGGAAGTTGATCTGAACCGGACCAGAATCCGTATTTTTTAGGCAGTTTTTCTGGTGACAATGCCGAATCTTCAACCGCGATGCGTGCTCTGGTTCCCCGTACCAGGGTAGGTGTATCATCTGTCTTTCTAATAAGCTACATGGAAATATAAAAATAAAAAAGTGAGTCAGTATGATTCAATAATTTCTCGAAGATTCTCTTCAAGCATTTTATCGCAGTAGCTATATATAACTAACTTATTAGTATTTACGCACCTTAAAATTTTTTCACTGGTGGTATTCTATCACTCATAGTTCTTCATTTGGTGTAAAAAATTCATGAAGCTTAAGTTCCAGCTGTACCACATAGATTGGTTCAAAGGCCAGTAAACTAAAAGCGGAAACTCAAATATCTAGTAACATACTTCTAAAAGTTGGAAAATAAATTGAATATATATATATATATATATATATATATATATATATATATATTCCATAAGGCAGCTGTTATTGGATAATGCAAAGTGTAATTTTTTTTACTAATAAAATTTTTAATACCTTGGAAAAAGAAGACCTGTGAAATAAGGAAATTTTATGTATGAGATAATATCGATGAATACAATCTTTTACACTTTAAAAAAATTTAAAGAAGGGGATTCATTCATATAGTTATTTGTGTAATTTTCTACAATTCATTCAAAAATGTAGTGTATAATTTGTTAATGATATTAGTCTATCTATAAATTTTATTTATACCTTATATTGATCAGATCGAATGTGTAGAGAAAGTGGATTCCAGATTAAGTCACTGAAATAAGAAAATTATGAAATATTTTTTTGATTTTTCAAAACGATTTAACTTTCTTAGTCACTCTGAAAACCTAGATTTTTATCAGAATGCAATTTTAGGCATATGAATGTTGATCAACATTGGAACTAGTAGTTTAACAGAAAACAGGAATCAAAAAGCTTTAAGTGTAGAGTCAGTTGTGAAAGTTTATATGTTCGTTGATAATTTTAATTTTAATGATTTTTCTGAAGAAGTCTAGAGTAGACTGCTGAATGAAACCTTGGAATTATCTAAATTTCAATTGCTGATATTGTTTCAAATATAAGCATCACATATAAAGGCGTTTCAACATTCTAGCAGAGGCAATGAAAGCAGACGGAGCAGTAAATACAAAAATATTTCACATTCTCTTCAACAAGATTTGAGATGAAGAACAAGCACCAATAGACTGGAAATAAGAACACCTGATCAAGATACCCAAGAGAGGCGAAAACTACAGAGACATCAATCTTTTCTCAATACTAGGCAAAATATTCAACAGGCTGTTGTTAAACGGAATGAAGGACTTTGTAGACGTCCAAATTCGAGATCAACTGGCTGGATTTCGAGTACCGACCGGATTGCAACATTACGGATCATTGAGGAGAAATCAATTGAATGAAATTCACCACTCTACATCAAATTCTTTGACTACGACAAAGCATTTGATAACGTGGACAGAACAATACTATGGAGGCTTCTTCGACACTGTGGCGTGCCTGAGAAAATAGTCATACGCAATTCTTTTGAAGGATTAAACTGCGTAATCGTGCACCGAGAACAACTGACAGACTCTTTCGAGGTGAAGACCGGTGTCAGGCAAGGTTGCTTACTCTCACCCTTTCTCTATCCCCGGTTGATCTACCGGATTATGCAGCCGGCAACATCTGGAAAGAAGCACAGGATACAGTGGACAACCATGATGCATTTGGACAATCTTGACTTCACAGATGATCTGGCTCTTCTATCGCACATGCAACAGAAAATGCAAGAAAAGACGATCAGTGTAGCAGCAGCCTCAGTGGCAGTAAGTCTCAATATACATAAAGGGAAAAATAAGATTCTCCTATACAACACATCATGCGTCAACCAAATCACTCTTGATGGAGATGTCTTGGAGAATGTAAAATCTTTACATATCTGGGAATCATCATTCACAATCAAGGTGGATGCGATGCAGATGTGAGGGCGTGAATCGGCAAAGCAAGAGCTGCATTTCTACAAATGAACAAGATCTAGAACTCCAAACAACTATCAACCAACACCAAAATCAGAATTTTCAATACAAATGTCAAGACAGTTCTACTGTATGGAATGGAAACTTGGAGAACTACGAAAGCCATCATCCAGAAAATATACGTGGTCATTTACACAAAATACTTCAGATCCGTTGACCAAACGGCACTAGCAACAACAAACTATGCTCTAGAACAAACCAGATTCCGGTGGAGGCGAAAATCAGAAAGAAGTGATGGAAGTGGATGAGAAGGACACTGAGGAAAGAACCAACTGCGTCACAAGACAAGCTCTCACTTGAAACCCTCAAGGACAGAGGAAAAGAAGAAGGCCAAGAAATACATTACTCCGCGAAATAGAGAAAAATATGAGAAAAATGAACAAAAATTGGAAAGAACTGGAAAGGGAGCCCCAGGACAGTGTTGGTTGGAGAAGACTGGTCGGCGACCTATACTCCATTGGGGATAACAGGCGTAAGTTAGTAAGTAATAATGATGATTGGTACATCTAAAATTAATCAAATATCAACCATTCAAAAAACTAAAATAACCAATCATAATTAAAAATGCTTGACCATTACATAATTAATGTTCATATTGTATTGTTACTGACTTGATAATTAAACACAAAAGATGGAAACAAATTATAATTTTTTGCCTAATCCACATTGTATGACAAAAATAGAAAAGAAGTAAAAAGGAAATATTTGGGTTAAACCTAATCAACAAACAATCTAAAGAAAGTATAAAATATTGAAAAATATTGAAAAAAATTATACATATATTACTATATTTAATTATAATGATTATTAGCATTTAGCTGAAATTAGTAAACACTTTGAATGCTTATCAAAGAAATGGAAAAGAAAGATGATAAAAGTACAAGCGAAATGATGGAAACAGTTTTGAAAAGATTTTCGATTCATTTTAATCCTTTGGTGCCATCTGATTCCGGTCACTGCTGCTGGTCATATCGACATGAATGGAAAAACTCTCATTTATTTTTGAGACGCATTTACGATAAAATTTCATGATTTCTTGAGATATTTAAGATAAAGTGAAAAGTTTGATGTAGGGAAAAAAACATTTAAATTATAGTGATAAATCTACTGATTTTATTCTAAGATGAATTTCAGATATCATAAGAATACAGAATAATTTCTTATTTATGATATGAGTGAGTCTGGATATGTAGTGTCAGCGGTTAAAGCATAATATTTTAACTACCTTAAGTGACACATCAGCTAATCAAAAAAAATTGTCATCTTATAAAATGACTGACGAAAAAAACTGAAATAGTAGTGGAATAGTAGCTTTGATCCGAATGATCAACTTGTCAATATCAGATTATTTCCTGGAGTGAAAGCAAAGGCTTAAGTTTACATAATAGGAGTCAGAGTAGTGTTGTTTGTTGGAGATTTCAAGCCATAGATTTTCGTCACCAGCTGACACCAGGTATAATACAATAAGATTACGGTTAGGAGTTAAGCCATGGTTCTGAGTTGGATTTTACATATTGGGGTAAGGGTTTCCAGCACTAGAAGACATCAACTATGATACAATGCTTAATCAAACTTGGAGTGAAATTTAAAGTAGGAGAATACTATCTAGCTTCACTCAATATTTTCAAACACTCAATGAATCGCGTCAGGCGCTCCAGCATAATCTTTAGGCACATGAAGATATGATACATTATAAGAATTCTGTTTTGACTCTAAATTCAAGGATGAACTGTTTAATTAATCTACCTAAATGGAAAGTAATACTCATTAGGACAGTAAAACAGCTCACTTCAACAACTAAAAGCTGAACGATGACCGACTTAAATTGTTTTCTATTCCCCTGACTATTCTTTATGTGTTTATTGAAGCAAATAATTAGTAAGGCTAGTGGATTATTTTGTATCTGTATTTTGTGAAACAGGCTACAAAACAATATGCATTAAAAGACCAAGTAGCCTGAAAACCGTTACGATTTGTTTTCAAATTATAAGGAGAAAGTTTATTATTCAATTTCCATTGAACGAGTATACAACTAGGAACCATTCATTAACATAAAGCACCAAACTCCATGTAAATGTAAATAATTATTGGCAAGTTTGGCAGATTGTTGATATAGCTATTGCAAACTTCAATTTAATTACAGAAATAAATCATTCAATTGTGAATAATTAGCAACTGTTTCAAAAAAAATTTGCTTTATTATCACTTGATAGACAACATATGGTGTTGAATAGTCTAGGTATTTAGTAACAGTGGTTTATTCTGTAAATGTTATCAATACTAAAAACCTTAAGCTTAAAATCAATACTTTATTCTTAATTTGAAAGTTTGTACAACTTAAATTCAGTACAGTTAATATTTTAAATCAGAGTCAAGCGAACGTCTGAAAGAACAAAAACATTTTCTTGACTTCTTCTCATAGATTACTTTTATATGCTAAATCCACTACTATGTCAAGCTTTCTTGGGCTACTAAACAGTCATACATGAGGAGAACAAACTGAAATTGTTTTTGTATCGTGTAATCGTACATGCAGTCCTATGATAGATTAACAAAGACATGATTAACTATGCAATGCAAATAAGTGTTTCAGATGACATTAAAGACATAATTATCAAGAAATATATATACTAGATGTATAGTGCCCTGTAGACAATCTATTTCCAATGTAGAGATATTTTCAATCGTTTTTTGAGATATAACCATAAAAATAAAATGTGATACGTTAAAACGATGCAAAACCAAGAGACAACCAAGTAAGAAAATAAGTATTTGAATGAAACAAGTTTTAGAGTGATGGATGAATCATACACAGTGATTAGTATCCATCAAGTGGTGATCTGAGGCTATATCAGTTCCTCTATTGGTTCTTACGTCCTCTATGATTCTCCTGAACTTTTTTCATTCCTTTCTCCAAGTCCATTTGGTCCCATGATGTCTTCATATCCAGTGTTGTCCATTCCAACCTTTGCATTTAGGTCTCCGATCAGAATGTTCAAATCCTTTGATGAGCATTTTTCGACGATTGACTGCAGCCTTTCGTAGAATTGATCTTTAACGCCGTCATTGTAGTCATTGGTAGGTCCATAGCTTTGGGTGACGTTCATATTAATGCCATTTTCCTTGTTTTGAAGGATGATTTGATGACCCTGCGTCGATGAAATTCCTATCCTATCAGTCCCTTTTGTGCTTGTTTGGACAGTGCAACTCCTTATGTGTATGAGGAATTTTCTTCTTCATGGCCGGAGTATAACAGAGTATAAAGAAGAACTTCTGAGTACCAGAGCAGAGTTAAAATGGTCTGAATAATATTTTCTGGTTTGCGTTTTTTAGCGATTTAGTTTTCTACGAGGTGGGGTCGCCAAACCCATGGCCAATCCTTCTCCACTATCCGGGTTCGGAATTGGCAGTAACCCCAGGGGAGATCCAGGTGGAGATATGATATTAAAACTTATATACTGTATTAGTACGTTTACATGCGACTTCTGCTTTTACTTACTTACTTACAAGAAAGGCTGGTCTTAACTAGAACACTTGTTAATTTCTGAAATCAATGGTTTTGATATTTGGAAAACAGAAATTGTTTAGATTCAGTCAAGTGAATAGAATTTTCGATAATGAAATCACAAGAATAAGTAATTTTCACTAGTTTTATTCTCGATCTTAGTCAGTTGATTGTACGTACCTAATGATGACAGTTAGAGCTTGACTAATCATCTCATTTGATAAATGGATCCCTCAAAATCTTCATCTTCTAAAGATATTTACAATACTTAAGTGATGGTATGCCGAATAAGTGAATTGAAATAAAGTCAAGTTAACTGTAAAGCCTGTACAATGATATACTTAGCTAATCTTGTATAAAAAATCTATTTTTCGTGCGTTTTTAATAAATATAGCTGAATATGTTTTACATATTAGATTTTATGTAATTTTGTTATGTTATTTCAGTGTCACACTGGTATTTAATTAAAAAAGAGTTTGAGCTGAATCATCTTCTTTACAGTAGTTCACATACCGAAATAGATGTTCCTAATATACATCTTTCATAGATATTGGTTTCTCAAACTTACGAACAGATAGCCTATTAAAATTTAATTGAAAAAAATAGTCAGCACGTTTGTACGTCCTTTCTCAGGTTTAGATGCTATTAATCGTGAACTGTATAGTGCTTTATATGTAATTTACTGTTAAGCAGATAGATATGATATATAGAAAGTACAAAATTTGATTCGTTAACGAGGATTAGATTAAAATAAATAAAACAGAAATTATTAGCACACATTATTTAAGACAGCTTCATTATTATAAAGTACTTCTAGGCCAGAAGCAAATTTAAAACGTCTGTAAAATTGTTAAAAACGTATGAAACACATAAAGTATATATAGCTTACTATATTTTTGTTTAATTTAAGGCAAATCTAACATGTTTTGGTCAATTTATACTCTTCAGTACTAGCTTGTGTGCACATACTTAACATACAACATTTAAACAGTAAAGCTGAAAACAGGTTTCTGATTTAGATTATGATGACCATATAGTTGACATAATTCAGTGAACCGTAGAGTAATGATCATGGTGCATTTATTGATTAGATTCTATTATCATGTAGCATTTTACCAGTTAACAGTATTCTCTTGAGATTGTTTGAATACGGGTAGATATCATTCAACAATCTCCACAACTACCTATTCAGTGGGTAATTCCAGGTGTTACATTAAAAAGCCATGAATAGTGGGGCTTAATCGCTTAATTGGTAATGGATGATGGTTGTAAAATATCGACGATTGACTGTTTGATGGCAACTCTGTTGTTCGAAAGTTGAGGGCTATTTGCAGTGCCTGAAGTGTCTGCAATCAACCTCTAGTAGGGTTGTGGATTTACGTTGACAGATTATTCTATTTGGTGAAAAGTTAGTGGATATCTGAGAACATACAATTTGTTATTACTCTGACTAAACACTTTAGATCATGTAAAGTAGTGTAGATTAACTGAATAGCAATAGTTATTAATAAAATGGTCAATATAAGTATAAATGGAAAACCAACTGAATTAATGTTATGATACTAGTACATTTCAGGTTATCTGTTTATAAACTAGGATATACTTCAAAAAGACATACTAAGGTTTGCATAATTTTGGAGTGGTCAGACAAATAATTGAACGGAGTGAAACCTGTTTAATACAAACATAAATCATTGCTAGTTACAAATTCAATAGTTACCTCAGTTTTGTTATTTTTGTTTGCAAAAGTATATCCATTAGATGTTGGAACAGATTGCACTCCAGATTCTGTATACGTTTTGATCGGCGGATGATTAGCATAGTTTTGGAAGCTGTTTTGATCATCTTTTGAAGAATTATTTGTTGAGAATCTTGAGTTAACAGACCAAGGAGGTGGTTTATTTGCTTCTGTTACATGACCAGTTTTAGCCTGTAAATGAAATGTAGTAAAATAAATCTATTGAAATTGGAAGCACAGAAAAAAATGACTATGATTATTTTTATGTGAGTGTAAGTCAAATTGTACCTTATATAAAAAGAAACTTCTCTTACTAAATTGTATGACTAAATATTGAAACTTGAGAACAAAATATTTATAATTGAATAGTTATAAGATATACACAAAATAAACTTTAATACAATAGAACATTTTATAAATTCTGTCCATAAAAAATGTATGAAAAAACCGAAATATTATTTTATGTAAAATGATCATGTTTTTTACAAATAAGAGTAATTAATCCAAAAATTTTCAACAACCTAACCAATTCAAGCAAACCAAATTGTTTAAAGTAGTGATGTATAATTTTATCAATTATAATAAACTACCGATTTTTGGTTTGGAAATGGTGGAAAAGTTTTTACTGATGATGTTTTCGAGAAAAAAAATGAAAGCTTCTTAACTTAATCGACTAGTTCATCGAACATAACTCCACAAAAAAAAATTATTTAGTTTCAGAATTTTCTTAATTTGAGAAATATAGGTCATGATCTTCATAGATATTTTAACTCCAAATTTTGTGAAATCTGTTATCTCTGATAAATCTCGAAAGAACTTTATTTAAGAATGGAAACTATGTTAAGTCTAAATTAAGATAGTCCTCTTAAGGTTATGTATAATTCAAAGACAGTTTACCTTACAAACATATATTAGCTTGCGAAGCATTAAATATATAAAAAAAAGTCTTCAATAATTCTAATTCAAAAGGTTTCATAAACGTGAAAATTAAATATTCAAGCGTGATTATGAATAATCCACCATTCATGTTAAAATCTAATGATTTTCAATTTACATTACATTCATTATACTAATCTGTAGTTGATTTGATAACAAAAAATCTAATGTATCGAAATAATTGATCTTAGGTAGAATACTTTTATTTGAAATCCATTAATTTCATCATGACCTACAACAACATTAAAATGAAAATAATGTAACGATTAAACTAGTGTTGATTATTCATAGGTTATTGAATTAAAATGAAAGAAAGAATTGTTTCAACTATTTGATTCAATAATGGAATTCAACATATGCTAGGCAATCAGTCAGTATATGTTAAAGCATATATAGACATGTATCTTTGAATTTAACTAAATGTTGACTATTTCTTAAAATAGCACTAGAAAATTTCCAGATGAATAAAAATGGGAAAATAACAAAAAAAAATAAATGCACAGTGGCCTTTAGGGAAGAATTTTCCTAGAATATATGTATAATATGCGACTAATTGTTTTCATAGATTTCAGTAAATTTTACACAGATGCCTACATTGTGTTTATCTTGATAACAGTAATGACATTTTAAATGTTACTTGACTTATTTGTTAACCTTCTATCACAATCAGAGAGAGAGAGAATAAAAAAAAACCTTATTCAATATATTTTTGGAAATAGTAAATTTAATTAATATAATATGTTTGGCACAGTTTATAAATTACACTAGAAAAAAAAACAAACAGAAGTAAATGGCCTTAAAATGTACATACTAATAAAATAATTTTACTGACATGTGTATTTCTACAATGTGTACTTTTAGAAATCTTATATTTACTACAAAATGTTATATAAATATTTTCATTTTAGAATTGTTTCATTTTTTTGGTCAATTTTATTAAATTCACTACCTGATCAACTATTTTACAGAAAGAATAGAAAATTAAGTAGAATTTCAGTTTTGAATTTACTAGTAAAAATAATACCTTTCGACACTATTAAATTACCTTAAAAAACGAGTTGATTAGTAGGCAGAACAATAAGTAATAAATCATTAAAAATGGTCACTTCCATGTGTTGTACGTAGTTGTGACAAATTCAGACCGAGTAATTCAACTGTTTGTAATGAATGCTTTAACTTAACTCATCCCTGATCATAATCAAAACACTTGAATGTGAAAAATCCTGCTTGCAATTGATTCAATAACACTAAAATTAAATATTATCATATAATAATACCTTATCTAAGATGTTATTCAACCTTGTGAAGTTACCATTTAAGGACAGTCATAAATGGATCATTAAAAAAATATTCTAACAATCCTACCTTTTTTCTCTATGTTCAGTGAACGTTTGATTGCAAAATCTTTATTCTAGCATGTGCATCTTAAACAACACTTTAATTAAAATACTTGATAAGAGTAAAAATATGTAAAAGGATCATTTCATGTGTTTCACAAATGCTTTTGCATTTATTACTTTACAACATTCAAGAAGCAGTTCACAATCTCATACTAGCATACACTATGGAGAAAAGGTTGGCTAAACAAAACACATTTCAAGTAGAAATACGTGGGATTGTTTTTTTTGTATTTGCTATTTTTGCCACCTAGCAGACATGAATGCAATAAACTTTCGTTTATTCCACACATTTTTACTGTTTTAGTTGCATCAAAACTAGTACAATATAAAACAAATAAAAGTTCGTTTTAGTTAAAATACTAGTTTTGTTCTAATCAAGAACACAAGTGATGAACGTTAGTTCACTTGACTGAGAGGTAAATGAAAGTATAAATCCAAAAGTAATATTTACGTTTACATTCTTTGAAACATCAAGTACAAGCTACAATCTATAATCCCATGGGACGTAATTTCGTTATCGAAATTTTCCAACACCTGTATTACCCATGTAAGTGATATATTAACATTCCATAAAAAATTATATTAGAACATGAAGAAAACTCCAACCAAGCTGTTATGTACTTTAGTATAGGAATATTACTGCACATAGCATTATACTGAACACTTACACTCTGTGAAGAAACCATGAGAAAATAAATGAATTGTTGCGTGTATTTATTATTCAAGTTCAATTAACTTAATAAGCCTCCTCGAAGCACTTCCAGGAAGTAGAGTTGACTGCATCGATGAACTTAAGCGGTAGTTTGAGATCGGACTAATCCATCACTTCATGCGCTGAATCTTGATTCCTATATTCCGTTCTTCAAGGCTCTAAGATCGTAAACAACCGTCCTTTTTGTATGCATATGTACTTGAATTGCACGAGTTTCAGCTTGACGGTTTATGTGTGTAAGTACATGCAAAGGGTCCACGTTGGATTATCAAGCTTCGTCTTTGTCAGAACGTGAGGCCTAACCAACCAAAATATAGTAATAAAACAGGTCTATAAGAGATAAAACAAGTAAATACTAGGGGGAGGTGACTATCGACACTTGAATGTCTATGCTTATATTTATACTATAGGCAAAAGCCTATATGCCGCTGGTATGTATGTAATGCGTAAGAAACAGAAAATGGTGGCAAACATAAATGAAAAGAATAGTGATCATCTAGCCTGCTAATTGGTGAATATGCTTATATGAATGACAAGGAATGTATGAGTGAAGATTTAAGTATTACCGGTGTGTATGGAACGTACACTTAGTCTTGGTGCAACGCTTGCAGACCAAGACCAAGGAAGTTTTTAACAATTACCTTACAAAATCACATCCACGCGATGGGTTTGCGAGTCTAAAGAAACAGATTCTTTTCCAGAAGAGTCAACGGGCTTCTCCAGATGAAGGCTTACCAACCTTTAGTGATAAGAACACCAAATTAACTTGATGTATAATGAACAAAGATCTAAAATACTATCGTTGCAACCAAATGCATAATAATATTTTATTTGAAATAGCCGCTTCTCAAATTTTTTAAAACAAATTTAGCCTCAATGGGCAAAAGTAGTTTTACCTTGGTTTTCATGAGAACCAGACACTGTCCAGGTGTTAACACTACAACCTGAACAGTACAACTGAATCCTGTGTCGCAACCGCACAGGTACCTGACAGCCTGGCACTAATATAATTACTGTTACCTTTTAAGTTACGATATACACATATTGAAAGTTGTGAAATAGTCTTTAACCAATAGAGTTATATTTTTTCAGCACACTTTTGTAGATAGTTAAGCCTAAGCTCAGAAAATCTGCAGAAGTCATTTTATCTTAACTGCAAGATATGTATCTTATTACTGAACAATACATCATTTTGATATGAAATTTAGCTATACTGGATAATTTTATTTCATTTTTCACTGCTACCAACAACATTTTCAATGGAAGACAAGAAACTGTTATCCTCTGTTTCTTTCTGTTCATTTCAATAGTTATTAACTGGAGTTTTAACTGAAGTATATAAATAAAATATAAATTAATGTTACTTGTTTTCTATGTAGAACAGATAAGTTTCTAAACGTACAGAATAGTAGTTTAATTCATTTGAAAACCAGTGAAAAAATATCCAACATCCAAACAAAATGATTACGAATCTAAAAGGAAGAATACTAAATGATATTAGGAAGTCAATAAGTCCATGCTATAAAATGGACAAGGCATAATTTTCTATCATACAATTACAACCTACATCATTTAGCGTATATGAGTTAAAGTTTTGATAGGTTTGCATTAGCATTATTTTCCCTTAAGTTGCTATATTTATTGATTAGCTTGTCTACCCAAAATTGATAAATTCTAGTAATATTTGATCATGTCAATCTGTCATATTTCATTTTGGACTGTCCAGACTTAAATTTGTATACATTAAACACAACTAACAATATTATATTGCATTTTGTTTATAATTTGAACTTAACAAATAAACAAATCACTTCAATTTGTATTAGCATAAGCTTAATTTTTTCAATTAATATGAAATTTAACAGGCAACTGTGAAAGTAATAAGACAATAAACCAGGTGGTCTATTTATATTTCCAAGCATACAAAAACTGCTATAATTTCAATCATCAGAAAGTATACTAAAGTCAGTAAAAAAAATTAATGTACTTATCAGTGATTATGAAGTTAACTAAGTTGGCCTAGATTTTTGAAACACGTCAAATGATACACCTGCATTCCATTGGTAGTGAAACCGATTTTAACATTAATGGATGAGGAAAGTTTTCAGATTGGAGATAAACGGAGTGGCAGTATCGAATTAAAT